ACTGATGTCTCTCGGAGTAATTCTGTCTTATGAACATCTGAATGATGTTATATGATAGATTTATAATACTTTTATTGATTTTCGAATCCAAAGGTTTATCATATATACCTTCTCCAAAGCGCATTTCCTTAAAGAAATATCATAGTCTAAAGTCCGGGAATGAGACCACTCGACCATGACTGCTAACATAACCGTGTTAATAAAATTTATACTTTTAATGCGCATTTATTGGCATTTCGTGTCAATATAAATAAGATCAAAAACTGTATCGGTTAAAAAAAGAGACGAAAGATACCAAAGGGACAATCAAAATTTGTTAGTTAAAGAGACATCGACAAAAACAAAAAACGACGAAAAGACCAACAAAATTTACAAAAAAAACATTGCATAGCAATTAAACTAAATATAAAATCCAAATGCAGGATTGACATCAAAACATCATAATTCATAAAATATGTAAAATAGAATATGTATGCAAAAAACACAATGTGTCAATATGTTCAGTATATTTCTTCTACTTCTACTTTGTAGTGACCGCCTTCAACACGTTGAAGTTTATGTCACTTGTACTACACTACAACTACCACGCCCATAGACAACATATTCTCATAAAAAAGTCTAGTATATTTCATTTAGGCTAATAAAAACCAAACTACAATATCAAATTTGATGCCCACATGACAGTGTCATGTGCTGAATACTCTTGCCAAGTTTAAGTTAAACATGTGTGCATATATGAATACTAAAATATTCCTAAAGAACACAAAACATATGATAAAATAATCATAAACTTGTCAATACACATACTCAAGAAAATTCTAGTACATTTCATTTAGGCTAATAAAAACCAACAAACTACAATATCAAAATATCAAATTGGATACCCACATGACATTGTCATGTGCATAATACTCTTGACAAGTTTGAGTATACATGAATACTGCAATATACTAAAACAAAACATGACATATGATAAAAGTAATCATTAACTTGGCAATACATTAACTCAATCAATTAACATTGTTCATTTATATACAGTATATATATTATGGCTGGTTTTTTTTTACTTTAATGTTGTCGTTCTTTGTGTTAATTATTTCATTTTACACACATTCTCTGTTAACTGTTGGAAATGGACCTTTCGAAAACCAAACTTGTGATAATAATCACAATTTAACCATATGAAATAAAGTAGTACTATTAATCGTATCGCAATACCAAAATAAAATATTATTGCATGTTAAATTTTCTAAAAAAGAAAAAGAAAAAAAAAAGAGAAAACGGATAAAATTCTCAACGCTGTTCACACATAAACACATGATATATTGCATGATATATCGGAAAAATTGTCTCTCTTTTCGGATTTTTCTTATCAAATTCATCCAGAAACCTTCAATCAAATTTAAAGAGAATCCTACAAAAATAGAGGAGGTAGTGTGGAGATAAAACATAGTATTGGTTGACTTTGAAAGCCTTTTCCGCTCAAAATAGTGCCCATTTCAAATGTTTCTGAGTGTCTAACTCATCTATGGTTATGATGATTGGAAACCTTCATCCAGATTTGAAGAGGATGCGACAAAAAATAAAGGTGCTATCAAGGCGACATCAACGTAGTGACGGACGACCGGGTCAAAACCATTTTACCTCAGCAAATACAGTACGTTACTATGGGGTGTTGCTGTTTTACAATAAAGTCTAAAATGACAGCTACTGTCGTGACCTTATTTTTTTTACCTCTAAAAGTGACACAAAATACGTATCTAATTTCCTGTGATTAAAATAATATGTATGGGGGTAAGCAACAATCTAATACTTATATTCCGGTGTAAGATTCGATCTCCCGTTTATTCAACATGTATCGTTCTATCTGAACACACACTTATGTTGCCTATCGTCACCGCGTTGGTAAGATATCGAAAAAATACATATTCTTATATACACCCATTAACTAAAGCATAATTAATTCTTCTGTTTTAAAATAATATTTTTGTTTTTATTATAGCCAATAATTGCGTTTTCTTGGTAATATAACAGAGTCTCTAGTAATAGTATATATCTAGCAGCTTTGACCGTAGATACATGTACCCTACAATAGTAGCAATAATAAAAAATATTAAACTACAATATTAAACTTTCTTTAATTTTCATATGCCTAAATATAGATGTGAACCGTATTAATTCCCACACATTCAGGAATAAAAAAATAAAATTGAAATTCTTTTTAGATACTTCTATTGATTTATGTTCCAAATTTAAAACCGTGTTATAGTCAATTCAGAAACGATAATCAACTTGCGATTAAAGGTTCTTGTTGATTTTCCTTTCTATATCCACTACTTCATATAAATTCTCTGCATTTGTTGTCTTGTTTTTTCTTTTCATTAATATTGCTGTTATCTTGTTTTACAATTTCTTTTTTTACTAATAAGCTACAGCTTTTAAAACAATAAGAAAATAAAAATATCATCATAAAACGTTGAATATTGATGTTATAAGACCATCATAATTACTATATACAAACAAACAAAAATAAAATGTAATATATTCAATTTGAATGCTCATAGTTATTTTCTATGCTTCTTTTTCCATTCAATATACATATCCACTTCTGCATCCATACATTTTTAGTTTGCTAACTCATATGGACACCCTGTCTTCCTCTGGTGGAAGTATATGATTGCCTCCTTATGTAAAACAAAGGTCACATAGTGGTCAGCAAAACTGAAAGTGAAATAACAAGAATTTAAACTTTAGTATGTAATGGTTATACATTGTAATTCCTATCTTTTTGTTTGTAAAGTCAGTTTAAGACATTGACGTTTTTATACATTTTTGCAAATGTGAAAAAAAACTATAACCTTCTGCGACTTACCATTTATAAATAATAACAGAAAACAGCATTTGTATTGCAAAACTTAACATACTTTACTTAGCAGACTGGGTATATATATATATACCATGCCGTCAGTATATCCGCCCATCTAAGGCTGCATTCGCGGCGCTTTGTCCAACGTTTTCGTATATATATACCCTGTGGTTGTTTAATTGTTCCTTTCCATAAAAATTGTACTATTTTGATGAAAAATAATGACCAAAAATTGGCCAAATTATTTCATACAAGAAATAGAGTGATTTCAAATGGCTTCAAATGGAACTATGTGCCACCAATGCGAATGTTGCTGTATTACCTCCCACATTAACCCATTAGAATTAAAAATTGCCTCTGATGGTTATGTGTTTTATGTCATAATAACTAACAGAGGAAAACTTCAGAACGACCTTTTATTCATTATTCCCGCCATTAGTTTGGTTCAAATTGTCAATGTAAATTGTCTAACGATCAACGAAAAGCGATAACTTTAGCTAAAGATCAAGACGAACGAGACAATTTATATATGAGTACCTCTTTATTATATAATGATTAAAAATATTCGTAAGAACCTAACTATCTATAAAAACATGGCCTTTAATTGACATGATAATATAATTTTCTGGTATAACTCGACGTTTCAGCCATGCACTAGTTAAACTTACAACTTATATTCCAGGAAAATATTTTGAAGTTCAATATGTGTCAGCTTCCTTATCCTTCTGCCGTCGAATCTGAAGGGCTCGTGATGATTGTACACCAAATTGTCTGTCAGATATTTGAGCAGATCACTAATAATCTTTAAAAAAATATTTATATATATTGTAGATTGTTCTGGTGAACACGATCAATGTATAACCCAGGCTTTAAAGGAGCTGTCAAATTCATGTTCACCGATTTGACTCAAATTCTCATATTTGATTTATAACATACTAAAACGTATATCCAAATTACAAAAAGTCTAAAATTAACAATTAACAATGCGTGGACTCGATAATATTCATCAGGATTTCGTACGATTTTAGTCTAGACTCCATCTAATTAACCATCGAGATGACCTCCGAAGACTGCCGACGGTTATATTACCCGATATAAACATAAATATAAATAGATAGCGAGCACGTGCAATTTGATTTTTTCTAGGTCTGTTTGATTTCATGTTAGAGGTTAAAAAATATGTAAATCATAATTTTGTGTGGCTAGAATCAGTCAACGAAATGGTTCACCCTTGTTTCACGTTCAATGTTGACATTCTTTTCTTTTTAATAGCTGAACACGCCTAGTACATGCGGAACCCATCTCCAGCAAAGGGGTAAAGTTGAAGGTCACATGAATACGGATTCACATGAGGTTGAATTATTGAATTATCAATAATACATCAGCGATGTTTTGAGCTTATTTTGACAAATTCGGGCCAACTGACTGCTTATAATGAAATATTATTTCAAAATTCCGCTTTTATTAATACTTGGAACAAAAAGAATCGTATTTTAATTTTTTTTCTAAACCGTAGCTAATGCCCCTTTAAAAGACTAGGTACAGTACCGAAATTTTTTATCTGAACCTGGTGAATCATCAGTAAAAGTGAGTAACATTCACTATTAACGCCAATTTTTTTATTATATATTCATTTTTTTTTTATAATTTAGAAGTTTAACAATTTGGTCATTTGGTTTAAAACTAAGTTGAAACCTTAATTTTGAAGTGCTGCCCTTAGATGAATTTAGGTCAAGTTTGTACAGCTCCAAGTGTTGGTCTTTAACTTTCCCGAGTAATGAAGTATTATGAAGAAAATAAACGCCATAAATTTTGAATGTGTTTTTCATATTACACTTTTTACAGCGAAAACCCGGTTTACCTTAAGATCTGATGGATGCCAAATAAATCATACAGATTTTCATCTCCCTGTTATGTGCAAGAAGTATATACCTATAAACATTTACAGCTAAGACCTTTCTTATTTTCATCATGGTCTTTTTTTGTTCTTTGATCATTGGTCATTTGGTCATTGCATGCAGCATTTTTCAACACTCATAGGTTTTAACAAGTTGAAAAGCCAACGCTGGTTGGTTTAAACCAGGATGCATACCTTTTGAGAAATTACTCCGCAGCCAAAAGCTAATCTTCTCCTCTCTCTATTGACTATCATTTCAGGGCTGCCAATAAACTGATGGTGGCGCTCATGATCAGCCTCATCACTACAAAGCAATTACTGAAAATTATTGAATCATATCAACTGCAATATTAATATTATATTGATTGATTTTTTCTTTTGAAATTATCGAGGTTTATATTTTTTCATCATAAAATTGTTTCTCCTTGAAACAATGTATTATACAAAATTGGTTTTTGTAGGTAAATTCTAAAATCTAAATTATTGAAAGCTATCATTAAGTATATACCATAACGTCATAGTGTAAATTATTTTTACATAGAAGTGTTATCATTTATCAGCAAAAAGTGCAGATTTTGACAATTAAACCAGAAAAAGAAAAGATAGTACAGCGATTCATATTGCCATACAAAAGCAGTGATAAGGTATTAATTTGATGACAGAAAAATAGAAGCAATTAAGATTTCATTCCAAATCCATAACTACAAAACATCTTCTGAAAGTGTTACTGCATCTGGAAAATTTGAGATATTGACACTTTTCCTGGTTTATCAAAACGAATTGCTCTTTTTAGAACAATAGAAAAGGTAAAATTGTTATTTATTACTTCTATGTAAATCAGATGTAGTCGTCTCATATCTGAGGGGCTAACCCCCCTCAGATATGAGAAGCTTACATCTTATACATACCATCACGAGGCTAACGCACTCAGGAATATATGTCAGTGATACCTATGCTGTCTGCAAGCTTTAGTGGCTTTATGCACCGTGACATTAGAAGGATATCAAATTTTTTAAAATTAAACATCAGACGTGCATTGTCAGTGGATATAAACCGGAAAGCATAGCTTGTATATCTGATATCACCAACCATAATGTACTGTTAGTACTTAAATGTCATGCATTTAATTAAATGTTGACTCACCAATTACTGTTCTCACAGTGCATGATTTCATTGACATAAGTCAGCATCCGCATTTTCTGAAAAAAAAGTAAAACATGTATAAATTGAAACTTTAATATGTTAAAGATTTTAAAGTAGACCTAAAAAGGTTTCTATCATTTACCGGGATCTTTGCCATGGTCTCAGGAACTGTCACTCTCAAACCTTGTAATAAGTTCTAACGGCGGTTGGCATAGAATTGTACTGGATTTTTTCCCTGCATTTTGATAATAGAGCCGTCCTTAAAGATGTACCAATTTGCTTAGGGAAACCACAAAAATAATTCGGACCAAAATACAAAATTGGATGTGCACAATGGCATTTATATGGTTCAGATTTTGAGAAAGTGTTATTAAATCATGATTAGGGATTCAAGGAAGAGAAGTCGATACAAATATGTACTATAGTGTGCAGATATGACAAAGTCCATGTCAATGCGTCATAAAGTAATCCCCAATACTCATTCAGATGAATAAATTAAATATATAGGAAGTGCAAAAGTACATAATTTGAGTAAGACTCGGTGTAAATCTTACATAAATCTGTCAATCGGTCCAGGAGCAGTTGCGCATACAAAAGTGGGACAGAAAAAACAGACGGACATTCGGACAGACCCCTCCATCACACTATATCACCCGTTTAAGAAAGCTCGGTTACAATAGACAGTAGGGGTATAATAATGTAAGGAGACTATTTTTATATCGATCGGCTTAACTGTTGTTCACATTTTCAAAGCTCAACCCTTAGCAATAGTATGATAACTTTAATATAACTTATACTAATGTTTGCATTTACTTACTTCAAAATCTGCAAATTCCATTGAGAAATCTGAAGATAAAAAAAAAGAATTGTAATTTTGGACCTGCTTTGAATGAATATAATGACAAGTGTACTTGTTTTCTTTGTACATAATATGCCATTGAAGGGATTGAAATTAACAAAAAATTACAAAAACAATTGAGAAATCTTGACATATATCTAGGACTTAATATCTAGAAATAATTCCATACCATATAGTAATAGAACATGATTGCAATGAGTTTTATCCACATAAAATAAATTTTCGTTCTATTCTTATTGAAAATAATCCTGAGTTCTCTTGCATTTTATAATCTTATAGATATATTTATTTAGGGAATGATCTTTACTTAAATCTTTATGTGAATCAAGAAAATGGAGCACAAGACAAAGATTACCTTCATCTATATCTTCATCTTCATCTTCACTGTCTCCAACTTCCAGCTTATCTGGACTGTCTTTATTTAGCTGTAGAAAAGATAATTAGGAAATTGTGTTAATACTTGTTTTTGAATGTTTTCATATAACTGCGTAATCTTTCAGGCAACGAAATAAGCAACAACGCCGTATGTCTCATCAGAGACATATAATACAATATTATATGTCTCTGGTCTCATATATGTCCTTTGGACCAACTTAAATTGAGCCGGACCCGAATTGTATGGTGGAAATTGCACAAATATAATATTTCATAAAGGGTGTATACATATTTATAAACATTTTGAGATGTTCATAAATTCATAATACTATTACAATATTACAAAATAATTTTCCAGATATATTTTAAAGTAAACCCTACTCTTCCTTTCTCCCTTAATATCTACCAGTGCACAACAACTACTACTAGGGGGTGTTTAACGACCTTGACTACCCACGAGGGCCTCGCACGGTCGGTCAATTAACATATTTTATGCACAAATATATTTATCTTACCTACACTACTAGGAATATCATTGGTTAAAAGCGAACACGTGGAAACCGTGTTCATTTACTATTATGGAGTGGTCGTGTTTTATTTTAAATCAAGTTAAGGCACGGTCTGTGGGCGTGGTTTATTTTAAATACATGTAGAAGTTCTTTGATATCACATTGTTATTGTTGGCATTTGTTTTTTGTACACGTCAATGCAAGTAGGTTCTTAATATTGAAGACTTGGTTCTGTTATATTCCACCTTACACCAAATATTGCTTTAGTGATTCATAATGATCACTATAACAAAAAATGAAAAATATCTATAATTCTTTTACAACTTCCTCTGAATTCACCACATTAAGATAGTCGGTAAGATAAATTCGTTACAAAGTATGCTAGTGAATTTTAAATACGATATATATTCGCTCGCTCTCGCCCCATATTGAATTTACTGACCCAGTATATATCGTATTAGGTCAGCCTTGGACTATTATACTAACCAATATATTATGTCCCAGGTGTAACTAATAATATATATGTGCATCTTACTTACATATTATGAAATCAAATAAGTTTTATTTTAAGTCGGCAAGTTAAATAACAATACAACATAAGCTCTGAGCGAGATTTTGAAACGACATACATTTAAGAATTGAATGCTTCTTTTCATAATTTCATTGGGGTGTAAAAGCGTTGACCGAAGCACATTTTTTAGGAAGCGCTTCATATTAAAAATGTGCGCACGATCAACGCTTGGTGTCATCAACCTATGCCAACATTTGAAAAATATATATTCATCCTATGCCTACATACAAAATACAATGGGTGTTGTTATAACAATTAATGATTAATTACAGGTAAAATACAGTCAGTATTTTAAAGCGTTAAAATTACTCCTTTAAAATTAGAAACAACAGTTAAATATTTGCAAAATTATGTTGAAGTAAATATGAAATTTGAAAATAATAGACAAAAATACACTTCTGTATGGTAAAATACTTGCAAAATTTGTTGTTCTAAATATGAAATTAAAAAAAAAACAAACAAACAAACAAAATTAAAAAAGTAATAAAAGTGAAAAATAAACCCATTTTATTTGTGATTTTTTTAAATACAAGATTTGTTCACTTATGACATGTTGCTGAGTCTCCAATAAAAAAATTCTATTAAATCTGATTCATGTTCTATATTTAAATTAATTTTTTTTTTTAAAGTTGCTAACGCCCTCATATGTGTATCTAATACAAAAAGAAGCATTTAATTCTTATAATTACATTTTTATGCTACACCCATGAAATTAAGAGTTATATCAAGCTTTTCGTTTGTTTTCCGATGGATTAGTTTAACATTGTCACGGATAGCACGTGCAGTCATAGCTGTTGTATTTTATACGGAAATAAAATATGATATTGGAGTGCCTCGCGATTGTTATCAGCCAATCAAAATTACGGATTCTAATGAAACATACATGTTATGTAATTATAATAAATTAAAGACATGCATATAAAATTGAGTACGTGCAGACACAATAGGACAAAACAAGACATACAATAGTTTACACATACACTATTGTTATGAGACCTGGTGCGGAGTTCAATTGAGAAAAAGAAAAAAAGAACTTAGTGAAAAGAATGTCGTTAAACTTTGGTAAAGTTATTAAGGCTTAATTTGCTTTTCATAAGGTTACTTGCACTACAAACATTTTCTACTTACTAAAAATAATAACATATTACGGGCGCATTGCATTTGCGCCATTTTTTTTTACAAAATTCAATGTTTCATTTGCGCCAAAAATTAAAACTACATTTTTGCCATTTTACAGGTAACATATATAACGGAAAAATTTAAATATTCATTGTATCCTGAAAGGAAATTTTGTAAAGCATTTCCCCTGGGTAATAAAGTGAATTTATACTCATATAATACAAAACTAAGTGTGACTTAGGTTTAAAATTGTATAGTGTTCACATGTCACATGTCACGTGTCTGCACCAACTGAGGATTTCAATAGAACCAACAATGGACCAGAATCGCTCCATGCACATTTTAACTAGCAGTTTTATTCAAAACGTCAAAACATTTTCATTTATGTGGACGTAGTAAAGAATATTCAAGCAACAACGTGCATAACAATGAGATGCAGTTACACGATGGGAGAAAGCCAAATGGACTATATTTTGCAGAAAAATAGTATGCGCCTAAGAGGCGAAATTTCTCTCCATGAATAAATCCGTATTACAAGTTTTGTGTCAGAGCAGACTTATAACTTTGCTTCAGTGTATATAGCTGTCACTGTGGTTTTTATTAAAATTCTTTGTTCAACATATCTAATATTATGTTATTTACCTGTATTATTGGCGCAAATGAAATGTTTTATTTTGGCTCAAATGAAATATGGTTTGTGGCTCAAATGAAAGATTTTTTTGGCGCAACTGAAATGCCAATTGGCGCAAAAGCAAAGCACCGCATATTACTGCACCAATTGTTTTAAAATATGTTGATAACCGTTCTGTTTGAATTCACTTACCTGTTTAACGTCGATTTTCATTTCAGAACTCACTGACAAATCTGAAACAAAACAAAATCTAACTATACATTGATTCGAGCTATATATTTCCTTAATTAAGGAGAATGTAATATAGGCAATTGGGGTATCATATATATATGTCAGGTCGCCTTAAGAGTTGCTTGGTTTTTTTTTCCAATTAATTCTTGCATATTAAAAAACATTCAAAAGTTAAAACAGAAGCTATTAAGGGACATCCCGTGAAATTAAATACAACTTTCGCTCGCTCTCTCCAATTTGAGTACATAAAAGTCCGGATAACAAGTACAAAAATATGATTGACCTAAAGGAATAAACTTCGTTCAATCGCAAATGCATTTTGTAAGCACTTTTGAACGCGTTACATAATGTATACGAAGAAATAAACTCTGAATCAAACTAGATCATTGAAGACAACGTTTTAAATATTTTCCAAACCTTACATTAAAAGTTGTATTTAAGAAAACTATGCATCAGCCAGAAGTCGGCCGTGGGAGGGGAGGGAGCATCTCTGTCTTAATGATTTATTGTTGTTTGCAGCGGCCAACTGTTTATATGAATGTATAAACAAATGTGCTACTGGGTTGGGTCACTTTTTATGTCAATTATATCAATGGGCGGACATTTTTTTTATTTCACCGAGGTTTTATATCTATGGATAGTAACTGATATGTTAGTTGATCGTGAGTATTTCCTCATTTAAAAGTCTGCAAATTGAGCATGCTCTTCGTTCTAATCAATACGTGTGACAGATTCATGTGGTTTACTTTTATTATCTGCAGAAACTTTTATTGGCACATTTAAATGTGATGAAAGAACCTTAGTGAGCGCGCTCACATACCCCACGCCCCCACATTGTCATTGGAGAAATAAAATAAGTGCAAGAAAAAAAAATTGTATCAGAAAAAAAAATTGAATCATAATTTCCTGTAAATATGCACATTTACATAGTATGTCCTTATTATCTACACAGTTTCATGAAATTCTGTTGTGTGGTTTGAGAGGAGTTGCGATGACAAAAGGTTGCAGTAGTATATTGGGCAAATAAGTTAAAAGGGGCGTAACTCCTGGAAAAAAATTGAATCGTAATTTCCTGTCGATATGCACATCTACGTAGTATGTCTTTATTATCTGAAAAGGTTTCATGAAATTCTGTTGTGTGGTTTGAGAGGAGTTGCGATGACAAAAGGTTGCAGTAGTATATTGGGCAAATAAGTTAAAAGGGGCGTAACTCCTGGAAAAAAATTGAATCGTAATTTCCTGTCGATATGCACATCTACGTAGTATGTCTTTATTATCTGAAAAGGTTTCATGAAATTCTGTTGTGTGGTTTGAGAGGAGTTGCGATGACAAAAGGTTGCAGTAGTATATTGGGCAAATAAGTTAAAAGGGGCGTAACTCCTGGAAAAAAATTGAATCGTAATTTCCTGTCGATATGCACATCTACGTAGTATGTCTTTATTATCTGAAAAGGTTTCATGAAATTCTGTTGTGTGGTTTGAGAGGAGTTGCGATGACAAAAGGTTGCAGTAGTATATTGGGCAAATAAGTTAAAAGGGGCGTAACTCCTGGAAAAAAATTGAATCGTAATTTCCTGTCGATATGCACATCTACGTAGTATGTCTTTATTATCTGAAAAGGTTTCATGAAATTCTGTTGTGTGGTTTGAGAGGAGTTGCGATGACAAAAGGTTGCAGTAGTATATTGGGCAAATAAGTTAAAAGGGGCGTAACTCCTGGAAAAAAATTGAATCGTAATTTCCTGTCGATATGCACATCTACGTAGTACGTCTTTATTATCTGAAAAGGTTTCATGAAATTCTGTTGTGTGGTTTGAGAGGAGTTGCGATGACAAAAGGTTGCAGTAGTATATTGTGCAAATAAGTTAAAAGGGGCGTAACTCCTAGAAAAAAAAATTGAATCGTAATTTCCTGTCGATATGCACATCTACGTATTATGTCCTTATTATCTGAAAAGGTTTCATGAAATTCTGTTGTGTGGTTTGAGAGGAGATGCGATGACAAAAGGTTGCAGTAGTATATTGGGCAAATAAGTTCAAAGGGGCGTAACTCCTAGAAAAAAAATTGAATCGTAATTTCCTGTCAATATGCATAACTACATAGTATGTCCTTATTATCTAAAAAGGTTTCGTGAAATTCTGTTGTGTGGTTTGAGAGGAGTTGCGAAGACAAGAAATAGGAATGACGGACTGACGGACGGACAGACGGACGGACGGACAGACAGACAGACGGACGGACAGACGGACGGACGGACAGACGGACGGGTCAAAAACATTATACCCTCCGCAACTTGTTGCGTGGGGTATAATTAAGATATCACAGATTGTACATATGACAACTGAGAAATATATGCACTTTTAAAGATTTGCTTTTAAATGCGAAATTCTCTCCAAAGTAGATAATTCTAGAATTGAAAGTGTAATGATTTTATTCCGTGAAATAGATATATGGGTGGGAATTCATAAAGTTTTTTAATATTTGAAGGAGCCAGGGTAAACCAAAGCTTCACGTCTGTATTTAAAAAAAAATAGTTTGAGAGCCCCTCCCTGTTCCCGTGACACCAGTAAGCAGAATTCTTGTTTACTTTGCAAGAAAACAACATGCCTGCTTTGCCTTATTACAGTGAATATACATTGATTGATACTCCTTATATTGAAATTCTTACTTACTTAAATACTGTACCTTCCCAAAAATTAACCAACAATCGGATTGACTTTTAGATTTGTCTCTTCATTGAAATATACCCCATATCTCCCTTTGTTCGTACGATAGAAATTCCTAGTTTCTGGTAGATGGACTTCAATCGTTTTGCAACCTACTGTAAAGTCTTTTTTATTTTACTTATAGAACTTTCATGTGAAGACAATATTTTTGTACAATATATTTTTGAATACTAGTATGTTACCTTTTATACTGTCCTCTTCATCATTTTGTGGATCGTCATCCTCATCTGTATTTCAAAGATTGTCTTCCACAGACTAATTATATAACAATTCAAAGTATTAACGTTTTTACATTTTTTTGTGCATACATAAAGCTCTTTGCGGTTTACTCTTATAATACATGAAAATTAATAACAATAAAAAAATTCATAACTACTAACAAATCAATGCTGATGTAAACTATATCAAAGAATACTCGCAATTGTCGAAAGCAAGCTGAAGTGTTTAATCCACTGAGATGAAGTTATGCCGTCCTATACTCTAATACCTATAGTTGTACTTCATAAAAGATCTATACAGCATTTTTATAAATGTTACAGGAAGGCGATCTTTTGGAATGCTCAGAAAAAAATCGTACAGAGTTTCTATGCAAAAATACAAACCGAACAAGTCTTGTTTCAAGCTATAAATTATCATTACAAGAAATACACAGCTGGCAGCAGATAATACAACTGTTTATTTTATACTTAGTAGTTAAGACAAGTAAATTGTATGTGTAATACAATCAATGGCAATCGTGCTGTATCAGCCATCCGTGATGATATCGATATTTGTCAAATTAAGGAATAACAGTACTGTAGTTGAAGAGTTGCCGCTGTCAATTTCTTTTCTAATTTTCAAAGAGTAATGTTGAAATTTATCTTTTTTGAAAATTTATAGAAATTCTGCCAGCAGGTAAAATATATACTTTTTGAACAATTACCAACTTTTTGGTAAGTGTTCTGTGAGTAATTAGAGATATATCAATGATTGACACTTACATAACATGGCAATCTCTTGGCAATCTTCTTCTGGTCGTATTCATACCAAAAACTCTTCCTTCTTTTCTGTGAAGCATAAATTGGAAATGAGATTCCGTCTATTGTATACATAACTATATTAGATAATATTAGTTTCGACCTAGTTTTTTTTTATAGTTTGTTGCATTGTGTCTGCCTTCAATTGAAATGAACTCGTACCATATTTTTCTATGGCGTATCATTGTTTTGTATATTACGGCGCGTTACGTTTGCGCGAAAAAATATCCACGTTTGCGTGAAATTTACCTGTTGGAAACTCGAAACTCCTACTACTTTTGCCTGGATTAATTAAAGTTTCTTTAAAAAAATTATTGAAAAGCTTTAAGACAAATATGATGAATTCTGAAATAAAACAAAATAGATTAAAATTTTAAAAAAATAACTGAGATGATAATTTGAAAATCGAATTGAAGATAGGAATACCATCTCTGAGACAAACAAAGGGGGAAAAATACTTGATATTCGATGAATATACTTTTCGTGAAGATATAGAGTAGAAAATGAAGAAATTTAAAGGAGATGCACCATAGAAAATATGCAAATGTAGAATAAAATCTTATCGCGAATGTAAAGTTTTGTTAGGCCAACAAACAAGCACAATCATGAAACTAACGAACTTAAATTAGAAAGAGAATAAATAGTACTGGTTATAGCGAAAGTTTAGTTGACTTTTAAATAAGCGGAAGCGATACCACTACTCATTTGAAACGATACGCACAGACAAGGACATAAGTCAACATTCAGTTCACCATTGAACAATTTTTTTTTAATTTCATTCTGGAGAAATTTCACATTCATGTTATCCTAAATCGCTCCGAAGACTGACTTATAGATTGTTCTTGTCGAGAACATACACACTGTGTTTTATTCAAGACTTTGCTTTTACATGTTAATTTACACCAAGATGTCGTTAAATGAAATTGGATATCCTACATTTATCATGCTTTTCAATAACATATGGTCAAATCGCTGAAAGACCCCCCTCCTAAATTATTGAAAACTATCATTCTGCATAGATAATGATATCTTGGTGTAAATTAGATACACCCAATCGGGCTAACGCCCTCATAGGTGTATCTAATACATAAACGAATAAAATAATATGTATTTATCAATATGATTAATCATTAAAAAAGCTGTTGTAAAATTCAGGTTATTTTCAGTATTAAACACAGATAAAACTCATGTAAATTGCAGGTAAATTCGCGCAAACGTAATACCAGTCAAAATTCAAATTCGCGCAAATGTAGGTCGCCCGTATATTATGTGTGCTAAGTATATAATCATTTACCTTTGGTGGTTTCTTCCTTAATTCGTAATTACGTTTCACCTGAAATAAGGACAGTTTGTTAATTATAAACTCTTATAGTTCAGATGCTATATGTAGACTGTGCTTAATTCTAAGTGAAGATAACTGTTCGCAATCTGTGTTTATCATTCCAGTAAAAGTAAGTTTTCTCACTCTAAATATTTTTTCCGTGATTACAACTTCTTTCGAAACGAATTTCACGAGTCCAGAAGGAATCATAATATATAACTGATAATTGATTGGTAGTTAACGTCAAGTGACAAATACATCATGCACCTTACAAATAAATATAGACTATGCCTTGTTGTATAGCCGTATTTTACTTGAAGGCTTGCTTCTTCACAAGATAACAATGATTATCCGCAGGAATACATGTCACAGTTGCTGCACACATTATTCTGAATCCGAGCCAACTTTACTCCTAAATGCCGCGTGCATAGCAGGAAAGCAGGAAATGTCGGAAATTTAACCCACAACATTGAGCCAGAGGCGAGCACGCAACCACGAGACCACTGAGATTGTTGGGTTATAATTTTGAGGAAGGAAAGTTAGGGAAAAGCAACCACGCTATTCCAAACGTATGTTTAGTGATAGATTTTTATTTATAAAAAAAATGGACTAAACTGGTAATTATATAAAATGTACGTAAAAGGATTGTGTGATTTATATCATCGTAAACATGGTAAATATGTCTAATAAGACGAGAGACCGGGATGTAAAAATAAGGAGATGTGGTATGATGATACAACTATCCAACATATATCTTTTTAAATTCAAGTATATTAAGTAATGATAACCATTGTATTTTCACTGTTAGTCAGATCTTTTGTTCCATTGTCATTTCCATCACTGGTTTGTTCTTCTATGTCTTCCGTTGTATTGTCCTAACATGAAAGATACCAATAAAATACATGTCAGCTTTAATCTTATAATTTGTGTTTATAAAATCATGCCCCAAGTGTATATCATGTTCATCAACAATTAAGACTAGCAGAACCGAATGAAAGACTATCTAAAACACTTAAGGAATAGCAGTACTGTGTTTGATTTGCCAATGCTTTCGTCAGTAATCGAATAAACGGAATAAGTCATCTAACAAATGGCGTAACATATCAACTTGCATACAATCTGGAATCATTACATGGAAAAGTTATATTCCTAATTGAATTGGACAATCATTTGATGGTTTTAATATTTTTAACACTTTTAACTTTTAAAAATAACTTAGTACATCAAATCATTTAAACATTATTTATTAAAAGAAATTCTTAGAATTTTCAAACTGTACTAACTTCTGCTATTTTCTCTTTCAAAATACAATAGAAATTCCAAGTTACTAGTATATTAATTTAAACAGTTTGATTTAGGATTTGTAACTGATTAACAAGACATGGGCGAGGAAATATTCGAGTCGCGCACGCGACAAGAATTTCCACGCCCCTTAACTTTACAAACTATAAATTATACTGTAAATGTTTCTCGTCATATACATATTCATAAAGTTTTTCCTGTGGCCAGTTCCAAAAGTCTTTGGACTTTTTTTTAACGAGAAAAAGCATTCTTTCAAACATGATAAACTAAGAGGGAGCTATGGAACTTACTATTTAAGATGGAATAATGCGAATGGATTTGACAAAAAGAATACCAAATATTATTGCTCGGAAGATTTTTTATTGCAAAACAATAGGACCTCAAACTCATTATGCTCTTTTTTATATTGGTTTACAACGTATTTATAATGCTCGTCCTGAAAATTCACGAGAAATATTCTTCACTGGAAATTCAGCAAAAGACTATTAAACACTCAAACTTTCGATGCAAAATTTCGCTAAAACGTACAATTTGCCATATTTTATCATGTCTTCAACAGAAATGTCTTAAGCTATCATTGACAATTTGACATCAACTTATAGACATATTGGAAAGGTTGTTGCAAAATTCTTTCGATATATATATTATTTCTATTTTGCAAATTCAACTTGGTTTCATTAACTTTGGGATTGTTCACCGTGGTTTAAACAATTCAAAGAGGGTAATAATCGTATATTTTTTAAAACATAACTTCTTATCCATCTTTAGAATCGCCATGCTGAAATTCGATTTCTTTTAAGATATTAAGTACTAAAAATGACATAATTATCGGATCCGTGATCATTATTAATTTTTGTAAAGTGTTGAAAGCATAGAGAAAATGTTCTAAAGGCCCGTTGTCACTATCAAAGTTTTCTTGTACAAGTTTTCTTGGTCACAGTGATGGATTGTTTTATAGTGACAACCGTCAAAGAAAACTTTGATCAAAAACTTGGACGGACTTGTATGGAATAGAATCTAATCCTATTTTCTAAGGGAATTATCCAATCACAGTGTAGTCTTTTCTTTGACCAAAGATGAAAAACTTTTGATAGTGAAAACCGATGACTTGGACCAAGTTTACCTGGTCAAAGTGTTTAGAGACCAAGTTTTTGATCAAAAACTTTGATAGTGACAACAGATGACTTGGACCAAGTTTACCTCGTCAAAGACAACTTTTACCATTTTAACTTTGATAGTGACAACCGGGCTTCAAACATATTTAAAAATGATAACTACTTTTTAATGTTGATTTAAAAAAAAAATTATTTGCGGGTTAACGATGTTCAAGATAAAATTAAATGGATTTATAGCATTTCTAAACATCCTTACGATTTATAGACCAACCATTTTCATATGAAAACAAATTGAACCCTGACACAATGGGTTTTAATGATTTGTGAATGGTTTAATAATTACCGTTGTAACCTCATTCTGAATGATCCCCTCTTCATAATTTTCTTCTACATCTGTACTACCAATTTTTTCGTCGATGCCATCTGTACCAGTTTGACAAGTGTCCTTCTGTGAAATATTTCAAGAATTAAAACATACGTGTCTTAAATTGTAACAGAAAATGTATACATTTGATGTTATTTTTTAAATTTGATTTAATATTTAAAAGTGTCCGACAACAGTTATAAAAAATTCTTTTGTTGTTTCTGGTTTCACCATGTCTTTCACAATTTAATTCAACATATCATAGTGTACTTTACTCTATACCCTAAACGCAGCAAGAGACTTTTGAAAAACTAAATCCGTTTTTGTCTTATTTTTATTAGGAATCGTTGTAAATGATCGTACTTTTGAAAGAAGATTATAAGGACAATTTTTTTTTATTTCAAATGTCAAAAACCAATAACTATCTTTAACAAATATATCTTTAGTTCTATATAAAACCGTGTATTGCTGTTCAATTTAATTTTTTTCGTTAATACACCTTAATGGTGCTGATGATAATATGTAAAAAGGTGACTTAAATTATTATTTCCAATGCAATTAAGAACAGATGGCGAGGAAGTCAACTTCTACATGTGATGTAAATTATATATGTATTCTGGATCAAAAGATATGAACGAGGGTCGGATGTATTTGAACACACTTTCATTTGTTTTTTCTTTTTCTTCTCCTTCATAACAAGTAACACTATTGTGTTGGATTTTGGCTTGCTTGCTTGTCTCTTAACTTATTGTGACATTTTCCTTAAATATTTTACACGTTTTGGCGAGTATTATGTGCATGGATAGACTTTGCACAATCTAATAAAAGTACATATCCTATGTCCACGATTGGCTTGTAAACGAAGCGTGGACGAAGGATCTGGGTTTCAATCAGATTGGACTTTGCATATGTGGGTAATCTTTTAGTTGACTATGAAATCAGTAGTAGCTAAATACTCTATACTAGTATCTGATAAGCGGGACTTTTTTGGTCATATTTTACCTGCACAATGTAAACTGCTCCAGGGTGAAAACAATGGCTCCTTATTAATTGACATACATCGCTTGATGGCAGTGTACGTTGTGCTTTCACTTTCGGATCTATGAAGATAAATTGATCGTTGATTATTGGAATTGAAATCCAATGTGCTTCGTTAAACTTTCTAATTATCAATCCCTTTATTTCTTCGAAGGACATCAGATTGTTTATGATTTCATTATCTTCTGTGGAAGAAAGGACATCATGTTGCAGTCTTGTCGTCGAATATGACCGCCTCTCGAGAGTTTGGATGATGACTTCTCCACTATAAAATCCCTCTCTGTCACGAAGTGCAGGTATCGGAAACGTTAGCGGAACTATGGGATCTCCAGCCATATTCAGCCACAGTTCATCTGCGATGTAATCCATGTCCGCTATTAATACAGGAAATATTCCGTCAGGGCTTGAACCAATGATGTTATTTACTGCACACAAACCACAGTAATTTGTAGGTCCCTGCCACTGTATATACGATCCTGCAACAAAAATGCTTGACACTTCTGACAGTCTTCTCTCCGATGGACATTTAAAGAGAACATTTGATACATAGTCGATGTTCAGTGATATAGCCTGTCTTTCTTCGTCAGAAAGGTTGTCCCAGGTATTGATGAGCTCTCTTATTTTTTCCTCAAAAGTAGACAGCATTAAAGAGGAATAGATCGAATAATTCTCCCTGGCTGACGAGTTTAGTGCGCTCTGTATTTGCGATAGCTCCTGAAAATGTAAAGGAACTGCGCAAGGTGATCTATCAGTCATACTAGTAGCTGTAGGGCAAGTATTCTGTGTGGTGACATCTGATGGCTGACCAACGTTTCCTGATCCATGATCTTCTCGTATTTCCAAATTCTCAACAATTGATGTTTGTATACCATTGATGTCGTCTTCAAACTGCTGACATAACTGACCTAACTGGTTAAAGACATCTCTGTTGGAAATAACTTACTCTGTTGCTTTTTTATTAAGTTGTTCGATTTCTCATTGTGGAATTGCAACATGAGGCGACAGATGAAAACATGAACAGCTGGAGACATCTCGTTTAGGAAATAAAGATCTCTTGTCATGCTGTTGAAAAACTGTTCAACAACTTGGGAGTTGGTAAATGACCCTAATCCTTCCACTAAAGATACCTTTCTCAGAATTTCCTTAACATCCTTGGTATTATCTTCGTGGAACCAGTCAAATAAGCTATAGTGTTCCGATGACCCGGATGTTGGATTTTTTTCATTGCTTATTGACTGGTTGACTGTTGTTTCTGGCCCGATCTCATTAAGGCACCCCAATTCCCAAGTAAACAACCCACTTTTAGCCTTTTCTAAGTTTTCGTTGGTGTTTTCTGCCACACGTCCCTCAAATGGATAAAACATGCGGGTGATTTTATTTCCGCTGGCAGCTACTCTGTTGGCTATATCCGATATCAAGATGTTCGGTCGAGATTTGAATAATCTCATCAAATCGACGAAATCTCTCGGACTTTCACTTCTGAGGAGACTCTTCGCTGCATAAACCACAGAATGAGGACAGGCAGCAATAAGCCATCCACCTGAATTTAAAAAATAAATTTATTTTTTATTTTTGCTATGTATCGATCTGATACGTTAAGCCCATTTCAACTGATTTTATGTTGTCCTGTTACACCACTGTCCTAGGTTAGGAGGATGTTGTTAGGCGCCCGTAAACATGATTAACCCCACCATATGTATGTGCCTGTCCCAATACAGAAACCTGTAATTGAGATGTTGTCGTTTGTTGCTGTTTATCATAATTGTTTTTCGTTTGTTGCTGTATATCATAATTGTTTTTCGTTTGTTGCTGTTTTTCGTTTGTTACTGTTTTTCGTTTGTTGTTTTGTACATAAATCAGGCCGTTGGTCTACTCGTTTCAATTGTGTTACATTTCGACATGTCGGGGCGTTTTTTTATAGCTTGCGATATGGTTGGTGAATATGGATGAGGCCCTACGGTGATATATAGTTGTTAACATCTACGTCACTTGGTCTCTGGTAGATAGTTGTCTCATTGGCATTCATACTTAATCTTCTTATTTTATATTAGTAATAACATTGTTTGCAATATAACATAAACTCCATTTGATATCTTTAAATCTTCAAATTAAGTTATCAAAATAAGCTCATCATAGATACCAGGATCAAAATTAAACTAGCATACATTATTAAACATATTTATTCTAAAACCAGTTGTTGGCATGACACGGGTAATGTTCTTCTCATATATTTTATGATGGTATAATACTAAACCCGTAACAGGAGGGATTGTGTCTGATATTCATATGATGAAGACATAATCTTTCAATCAGTTTAATTGAGGTCTGGAGCTGGCATGTCAGTAACTGCTAGTAGTCTGTTGTTATTTATGTATTATTGTCATTTTGTTTATTTTCTTTTGTTTCCAATTCTGACATCGGACTCGGACTTCTCTTAAACTGAGTTTTACTGTGCGTACTGTTGTACGTTTGTTTTTTCTACATTGGCTAGAGGTATAGGGGGAGGGTTGAGATCTCAAAAAACATGTTTAACCCCGCCGCATTTTTGCGCCTGTCCCAAGTCAGGAGCCTCTGGCCTTTGTTAGTCTTGTATCATTTTAAATTTTAGTTTCTTGTGTATAATTTGGAGTTTAGTATGACGTCCATTATCACTGAACTAGTATACATATTTGTTTAGGGGCCCGCTGAAGGACGCCTCCGGGTGCGGAAGTTTCTCGCTGCATTGAAGACCCATTGGTGGCCTTCGGCTGTTGTCTGCTCTATGGTCGGGTTGTTGTCTCTTTGACACATTCCTCATTTCCATTCTCAATTTTATTCATGTATTTTTTTAAAGTGCCAGTCTTTGTAAGAATCAGGCAATTTAGGAGAATTTCAAAACATGACCGAAAAAAACCCACCGACCTAACCATCCTGTTTTGAAGTTACCCTCATCCTGAGTTAGAAATGGTAGGTCTTTCGTTTCTGTGTGTCTGGTAATTCGAGAAATCTCTAAATAACTTTTGGTTAGAATGATAGCAAATTACGGAATTAGCTCCCCTTAATTGTTAATTTCTAGTGCATTTCAACCAAATTATATATTGAAATACCAGAACAGGAAATGGAAACGAATGTTATTTTCATGCACCATTATACATTTTGAACATAAATTAATGTAAACTTGCGTGGGTTTTTGTTTGTCATGTTTTCACCACTGCCTGATTCTTAGGCAGATTGACACTTTAAAAAGAAAATTTTATCACCCTTCTTTTCGAATTGGTATATGAACATTTTTTGCAGAATTTTTAGTCAATTTAAAACAAGTTGCACGGTAGGATTCTACTCTTAATTTATAGTTACAAATTCATTCTATATACATGTGATCAATGCCGCTATTGTCTTTTATTGTAATAATCATTCGGCATTAAAGACTATATTGTCCTTACAGATTTCACGAATGACATTGAGCATTTCCAGAAATTAACGAATCCCTTGAAATAGTTATCACAGATTTTGGTAATTCGTGATCATGAAATAAAACCGTTATCACAGATTTTCGGATTAAATCCGTCATAAAGAATTCCAAAATATGTTTTAACGTAGTGTTCTACAAATATTTTATCACAAATTACAAAAATATATGATAACGTATATAATCTGTGATCACAAATTACAACAATATGTAATATCTAATTCCACAAATTCGTTATCACTTATTTAATGCGTGATAACGAATTGTACAATTCATGATAACGATTTCAATTCGTGATCAGAAGTTTTTTAAATTTCGTGGTATATTTTTTGGTGGTCATAAACGGGCTTTCGTATGTATGCAAACTCATGTGATGTTGTCTAACTGTGTAAAATGTCACCACTGTCCGCCCAGTCGTAAAGTTGCGCTTACAGAGCATATGGGCAGGCAGACATCCAGACGGAATGACTGTGATTCCTATTTACCCTCCTCCCCCTCATAAAAAAAGTTTGTAACTGCCATTTGAATATTGATTCAATGTGAAAAAATGATTGGCCGACTGAGTTCCATTTTTTTTCTTGTAAAATTAAAATTAAATCACTTTCTACTCGTTTAATTTTATTCTGTTGTATCTTTAAATAAAATTCAGCCAAATAAACATTTTCAAAACGCTAAGATTTCGCAATGAAACTTACCAGATGTGCCAAAGATTTTCTCATATGCCCTGTCATAATCAGTCTGTTTTATTGAATGTTCACGAAGTCTGATGATTAGATCCATCATTGAACCGTTGTCCGGTATACCCAATTCTTTGCAGAAACGTCGAACTCTTGAAACCTTCAAATAAAGAAGAATATATGATTGACGTTGGCCGTACATATATTTTACATTGAACGTTTCAATACGGTATTAAAGCTGAAAATGACTCTTTTACATAGAAATTACTATCATATATTTGATCAATAATTCATATTAACTGAATTTTTTAAAATATTGACCAAGTAGTGATAGAGGGTTGTCGAGCTAGACATGCTTACACTTTTGATCTAACGGTTTCGTATGGTTCAAGGAAACATTTAGTTTCATTATTTGTTTTAAATACGCGTTTATATTTGCCTTTTTCCATTATATTTTGTCCATCGTTCCTAAGATTGGAGGGGTGTTTCTCCCAAATTTTAGTCGTTGCGATTCTTCTTCAAACCGTTTATTTGATCTGATCTATGAACTATATCATTTGAAATTGTAGTTATATAAGGGTTTCCTTTCATTTCTTACATAAACAAATTATAAGTTAAAAACAACAACCAATATGCACTTCACTGGCTGCCATATTATAAGTGGATTCTGATTACATTCAGAACACTACTTTTAAATTATGTATTACATGTATCAGGAAAATACATACACCGAAACCTACCCTGGAAATATGATAATATTTGAAAACTCTTAGTAGGATGTGAAAAAGACAGAACAAATACTGTAAAGTGTATTACAAAAGTATACATGACTCGCATAAAAATACATTACGTGTACCTTTTCATCCCTTAAACTTTTTAAAACTTCGTCAGGAACTGGTTCAGTCTCGTCTGGAATGTGAAGTCTTCTTGGACATTTTAAACTTTCAGTATTAAAGACATGGTTGCTTCGTCTTGATTCATTTCCAATCCAAGGTGCCCAAAATTCGTAGTTTGGCACTATCTCATTTAGTCGGTTTCCTGTAACATGTCAACAAATGAATAAGTGTAGGTTTGGGTCGTCCGCAAACATGTTTAACCCCGCCACATTTTGTATGTGCCTGTCACAAGCCAGGAGCCTGTAATTCAGTAGTTGTCGTTTGTTGCTGTATATCATATCTGTTTTTTTGTATATTGTTTTGTTCATAAATCAGGCCTTTAGTTTTCTCGTTTGAATTATTTTACATTTGTCATTTCAGAGCCTTTTATAGCTTGCATTGCGGTATGGGTTTTACTCATCGTTGAAGGCCATACGGTGACCTATATATAGTTGCTAACCTTCTACGTCATTTGCTTTTTGGTGGAGAGTTGTCTCATTGGCTACCATACCACATCTTCTTATTTTTATATTTATTTCAATAATGTGTTTCATCAACAAAAATCTAATACACAATTTGGTTTTATCATATTAGTGACAGGTTTAATGCAATGAGGCAGCATTCCTTTATATTTCGATTTTTTTTTTGGGACATATTTGCACTCGTTTACTAAGTTGCCTCATCAATATACATACGATTAACAAGTGAAAATGTTTACCATGTCTAACTCCAGGACTTATCAACTCTTGTTCCACTTTCTTCCAAAATGAATCCATATCAACTGTTTCGGGTAATTCTGTAAAATCTGCCGGTGCAACCATATCTGAAACTGTACCAGACATGACAATGCAATCAAATCGTTAAATTATTTCTACTGCAAGTCTGAGAAGCTAAGCCTCAAAAATGAAGCAAAGACATATTCAAGGGAATGATTAAAATATCTGCGACTGGAGTATTGGTGTATAACTATTCTGTCAACTCACTGGTTCCTTAAATGTCATTGCAAGTGAATTTAAACAACATTTTAATAT